GTATATAGTGAAGTAACAATTAAAGCTACTTCAATACAGCATAGTTACTGTGATGAAGGGGGTGGGGGAAGGCAGGGATAGGGGGAAACAGTCCTAAGAACTTTTCAATGAAGTATTCTAGTAAGGGAGCCAGGTTTCATGTTTCTTTAAAGCTTCTATCTCAAAGGTTAGGGGAAGCTTGCCCAAAGGTTTGTTTGCTTTAATGACTAACACTGCAGAATAGTTGAGGTTCTTGATTTTTGTGTCTAGCTCTGTTGCGTCATGGAAGCTGGAGGTAAGCAGGTCCCTGCTGAAGGGAAAACCCTGTTAATTTCTGCATCCACAATACAATGTGCTGTTCTCTTCTGTACTGCGCATAGAAAATAATCAAAACATCTAGGTCAGTGGTCGTCAACCTTTATTTTTTTGTACCAGTTTGTTTTGCAGCCTTCTCATGTTCCTGTGCTCCACTTCTGGGTCATGAGCCCCCAGGTTAAGCAATGCTGATATAGATGAACATGATGGTCAGTCCACTACCAACTGTGACCAGACCGATTGACACATGCATCTATCCCATTCAGAAACCTGGTAGTGCCTCTAGGGCTAGTTCTTCCATGCATACAGAACTGACTGAAGACAGTCTATGCTATGATTATATCACCAGGCTGGCACCCTTTATTAAAAACTTGTTCCTGTCACAATCCTTGTTTTTAAAAGACAATTTAGAAAATGCAAAATGTATCTAACTTCAGTAAACTGGGGTTCTAGTGATACTGTGACGGTCCAAGAAATAAACGAGGAAAACAGGTAACCTTGCATCCCACAGCAAGAACCACCCACAGAAGTCTGTTGTATTGCTTTTATGATTCAGGCACAGTTGCTTTTCCACAAGCTGCTCGGCTTCTTCCATCCCCTTCCTTCCCTGTTTGTGGTTAGGTGAATAAGGTATGAAGTGGGGGGGGGGGAGGAATCAGCCTTGTTTCTCCCTTGGAAGCAGTAGTTCTTTCACCCACATGTTTGTCTAGAAAGCTCCATGTTAAATACAATCTCTTCTGGCTTTAAAGTCAGGAATCTCGAATTCCAGTATCTTACATTACCAGGTGTATAGAACATATTAGCTGGATGGGGGTGGGAAGGTAAGTATGCTCCACAGCACAGGGCTGATGCAGTCTAGTTAAGCAAGATGGAGAAGGTGTAACTTAGCAAAACAAAGCTGATAAAAGAGCAGCAATTCACTTCAGTTACCATAAATTCAGAACTGTTCAGCTCTTCCACAAAATGACAGTTTTATGCCCTACAAAGACTGATGTTTTTAAGTGATACATCAGTCAAGGAAATAAGTATGCCAGGACCAGAAAACTCAGTATGTCACTAAGAATACCAAAGTCAGCTATACTGTGTATTATTTTAGCAACATCTAATTGTGCTAAACTTAAGCTCAAGGGATCCTTCACATTTACTAATACAGAAGGTGCTCTCTCTTATCAGTAATCCAGATTAAATTTAGTCCTCTCTTAAAATGCCACGGTAGCTTCAAAATCTAAACAACATGAAATAAGTTTGTCTGTCAACTTAGTGAAACTCAAAACTTAGCTACCTTAGGAATGGCAAGCTATGAATAGTTAAGTTTTCCTGTCCTTCAAGCACTTGTATTTTAGACAATAAACTTGCGATAGGAATGAAAATGCTGTCATTTGTTAATATTAAAGTCTATGTCACTATTAAGAGTCTACAGTTATTCTATTGGCATTTTATCATACAGTTTAGCCATCTCAGTATAAGCCCAGCAGGCTGTGCAGAATGACCTATTTACAGAAACACAAAGTATGGTAATCTGACAGTTCAGACAGCTGTTCCTCTCTCCAAGTTCTGTTTAATCTCTGCTGTGTATTTCCCATAGAACCTTTCTGCCTTCTTGTTGAATTTGGCATTTCTCTCATTAATGTAGTCAATATCTGCATCATCATTATAGGAACGTCGCCGACTGTATTTTTCACGTTTTACAATTCTGTAAGACAAACATCAATGCTGTAAGACCAATGCATAAAGAAATAATATTAAGTAGAAGAGATTAACAGGAGCAATGCCCCATCAATACTAAAATTAAGAGGAAGCTGCAACATATATGATATGCATCTCCTCAGGGTAGCTACAAGAAGAAACTGATTCCCTGGTTTTCTCCTATGGGAAACAGCAGGTTAGAAACAGCAGGGCTGCATATTTCTTACTCCTGTAACCACAACTCCTCTTTTTGGAGTCCAGCTCTACAGGATGCTACCTTTTTCTGTACAGCATTCAAAAATCTCAGAGCAAATCCCCAAGTATCCTATCCTTCAACTTTTATATCCACAAAGTTGTGCATGCACACAATCAAATCAGAAGAAATTAAAAAAGCCTAAACTGCACTATTTAAAAAGGAATTGAAGAGGTGTCAGCTTTTGTGAATCTTGAATCCACACCAATGGATTACAGAACTTTGATCACAGTCAAGCAATATGGCATGTTCTATTTTGGATGATTTATTCACACGAGTACAAAAAGTTGTTATAACATTTGTATAAACAGGTAGTTGTGCTGCTCTTCTCTGCTGGGCATGGGGAGAGGGAGATTTCAGAGAAGAGACTATTGCTTTGGTTCTTGTCTAGCAACTGCACCGTCCATCATAACTGTTTTTGCTCAACTATTCCTCACGTTTGCTTGCACAAATAGCACTATATTTCAACATCTTTTGTATTCTCATACAAAACATGATTGTGGGACAAGGCAAGACCATCAAGACTTTCCACTTGACATTTTCAAAAACACGTTTGAGGAGTTTTGTTTCAAAATACTCTGATGCACACCGCAGGAAAATCAAGCTTAAAAAGACACATGGGCATCCATTCTGCACCGATGCATCTTTCTAATCACTTATGAATTATTAGGTGTGGTCCCTTAGGTAGACTTCGACAGACACCACACTTTTTATGCACTATGACTAACAAAAAGCATCGTGTGTTTTATGAAGGCACCCGTTTTGAGATAATTAAGACCATCTTATTAGTTACTTACTGTTTTTCAAGATCAGTAACCATCCTATCAACCCCTTCATTAGATGGCACATGAGTTCCATGAAGAAGACTGTTTGATGTTGGATAGAATTCTTCCCTGCCAAGTGACAAAGAAGTTAGCAATACTTTACGATAAATAATAAGACATTTCATTACTGAAAAACATCCAACAGTAGACTAGCTGTGAGAGTGCAGGAATCCAAACAGAACATCAGATAGATCAATATATTAAAGAGTCTTAAGGAATGAAGAAATGATATTCAGAGCAACAAGCACTGCCTTCATTCATTTTGTATATTGTTCCAATAATCAATCTAGAATTTTAGCTGTGGACCTAAAACTTAAAGTATTTTTTAAACCACTATAAAATCCAGAAAGTTATTCACTTCAGGAGACTAAATAATGATTTAGTGATACATTTCACAATCTAATTGAGCAATACTGCATCAAACTTTAGTAACTGTGATACTTGAGTAGGCAAATAAATTCAAACACAAGCCATTTCTTTAACAACGTCTCAAAATGGAATGAGAATAGTGACAGTTCTATAGTAGCACCCAGGAGATGACTGTCCTCGGACTATGACAGAAATCCATTTGTACTGCACTATACATAAGAATAAAAGAGATTAAATACATTTGGAATTATATGAATCAAAGAAAGATTTTAACCATTAGATACAGTAGTTTGCCAAAAATCATTATTTCAGGTAATCATACTTTAAAAAATAATTAGTATGAGGCTGTCAAAGTTAAACTCACGTATCTTTCTTTTGCTTTTCATATTGTTCCATGTCAGGTTTGATCTGTTTGGTTAACCTCTGATATTGGCGCAATTGGGCAGCTGCATAATCTTCAAAATAAAAGAGATTGCAATGAACACAAAAGCTTTATCACGTGGTACAAGTTTCAGTTGAAGCGTATGAACTAATTTTAAATAACTGTTTCCCCACACCCTAGTGAGAGAGGAGGGAAAAGTGACTAAAATTCTTACCTGAAAACCCTAGATCTGGATTTTTTCTTTTCTTTTTTCTTTCCCATCTTTCAGCATCCTCAGCACTGATTTCCAACAATTTCACTCGCTCATAGTCTTCTCCTTTTGCAGCACATTCCTAATATAACACAAGCCACTCTTTAAAGTTCAACACAACAAAAGGGCAGACAAGGAGCAAGCTTAGTAGATAAGGCAGATGGTAGTAGTTTTATATACATTGTTTGGTATTTCAGATAGGAGTTTTTGGTGAGCTTGTCAGTTTAATGCATGCATGTGTATTTCGGGGTGCAAACACATATCAGAAGTGCTCTGGATCTAGATCCTCCTGTTAGGACAGTTAAATTCTGGATAAGACTTACACGCACAATGAAATGCACTGAGAGCAGTTACGTTATAGTCACACTAATTGCTGAACATAAGGTTAAATCATGATAGGACAGAGCCCTCAAGAAAGAAAACTTATGGTTTCAACGTTTACATTTGTTTATACCTTTTTCTTTTCCTCCACCTTCAGTTCCCATTCCAATCGAGCCTTTTTTGCTTCCCAGTTTGGTGGCAACTTAAGTCTCTTGTCTTCTTCTACAACTTCCTGATGATTTAGCTTGCGAGCTTCATTCTGGGGGAAAAAACAACCAGTATCTCAACTCAAGGGAAATGATAGTACAAGATTACAGAAGTAAGGAAGGACAAGAGACGATTTCATCCTTTGCAAGGGCAGGTCATGTCACCCATTGAGGAACCCATCAATCAAATACTATACGTAATTCAGCCTTTTAGTTAATCATTTAAATATCTACCATTTCTAGTCCCTCCAGAGGAATCTGAAGGTCTCCCCCACCCCCAGACAAATTTAGAAAAGCAAAAACTGACAGTCGGTGTTTCACTCCTTTCGAGAGGAACAGCTGGAGTATTTGTTAAAAGTATCTGATGACCTACTGAGGTCCCTTCTGACCCAAACATCTATGAAATCCACTGTGATGAAGGAAGAATTTAGTCTGGCCCCAAGAAATCCTCCCATGCTAGCCCTCTCACCTGACTGTCAGATCTGCTCGTGGAATTATGTTACAGTGATCAAGATGTCCTCTCCCCCCTGGTTTTAGGTCAGACCTTTAAGCACAGGCTATGTGTCTTTTGCTTTGAAGGTCCCCTCAGTGGCTGTCTCTAGGCAGAAGCCCCTGTTTTAAGTCCATAAACACAGCGGAAGAGCCCGTGCTACTCGGCAGATCTCACCCTCTTCATATGGAGCTCCCGGAACTTCCTCAGCCTCGCCTCCCTCTTCTGGGCCGCCAGCTCCTCCTCCGCCGTGGGGACCGGCTCCTCATCGGAGCTGCCAGAGGAGACCTGGAACATTGCACGGGCCCTCCAGAAATCAACCCCCGGCCTGAGGCAGGATTAGCCCTCTCCAAACCGTCCCACCCAGCTTCTAAACTCTCCACAAGACGACCGTCAACCCTCGCACAATGGACACATCCCACCCCAACCTCGCGCCGGGAAAGCCGGGCAGCCGCCGGAGCCGACATCCTGCTGCTATGGAAATTAGCGTGTGCTCAACAGACCCCCCCCGCCCCAAACGCCGTGCGGGTCTGACCCTCAGCCAAGGGGCCAGACCCTCCAGCTTCCGTGCTGGCAGACACATCGCCACCCCAGCCTCCGGGGCAGATTTAAGCCACCAAAACATAGAGCAGAAGGGGGGGAGGCAACCAGCCGAGCCCCAAAACCCGGGACAGCCCCAGAACAGCGCACGGACACGGCCCCCCGTGGAGCCTCACCCCGGCGCACGGCTCCGCCAGCGCCGCCATGTTCGACACAAACACAGCCACTTCCGGCTTCCTCCCGCACGCCGGAAGTGACGTTCGCGCAGGCACGCCCCGGAAGGGCGGTGTTGTTCTCTTCTCCTCAGCGCCCCCTGCGTGTGGGAGGAGCCTCTGCACCCGCGCCTGAGGGGAGGGGGAGAAGATGGAGGACGAAGAGGGGAGAGGCAGGTGTGGGAAAGGAGAAGGAGCAGCACAGTAGTCGGACTAGGGTTCAAGGGAAGGAGCCTGAGGAGAGCCCAGCGCCCTCCTCCACATGCTGCTGCCTCAGGGGTCTCCCAGACGAGGCCCCCACCCCTGTCCCACACTGCTGCCCCCAAATGGGTCACGCTGCAACCGGGGTCCGGCTGCGGGGGCCCTTGCTCCAACCCGGCTAGCAGAGACGACGCGTGACCGATGTGGCCCGCGGCTCTTGAAAAGCATCGTCTTGTGGCCGGGGTCACCTTGCTGGGACCGCGGCGGACGCTTCAGCAGTGTCGGAGCGATGTTGCTGGGACTCCACCACCAGGCGGGACCAGCTCCTCATCGGGCTTTCACCAGGACGGATAAAGCCACCGGGGCGACCTGATGAAAGACTGTTGCTAAAATCACGCCCCCGTTCTACTCTGAACCATCAGCGCGGTCGTTTTCCACCGGTGCTGGGGATTCTTCCGTCTTTATGGCTGTCAGCCTGGTTCTCGGAAGAGAGTTGACGTCCACGTCCAATAGCTTTTAGGGCTGTCAGGGAACCCATCAGCCAGGTTTTCACGGGCAGCAGTCTACCAGGTATCGACTCGTCGTAGTTCTGGAAACTTGTCTGCCGGGGCCCGTTGAGCAGAACGGATTCCTAAGGGGTCTCTTGTACGTTTAGAGAGAGAGAATCAAGAGTCAGTACTTAGGAAATGCTGCATTTATTTAGCTTAATGAACATGCAGATGCAACTGAAGTAATGGAAATCTTCAGTCATTCCAGTTTTCCAGCTTAATGGATCCCAGTCATTAGCGAGCAGAGGATCAAGTCATTAGCAAGGAGCAAAGCAAGATCCTTTTATAAGGATGAACTTTAACACTTCTGAGCAGTATTTGCTGAATGTCTCGGACGGCCCGATCCTCCTTGTATTTGTGGATGAGGTAGTGCGAGCTCACCTTGCCCTGCCTCACCCCAGCTATGAAGACATCACCTCTAAAGGCAAAAGAGTTGTACAGTCAGTGCACAGTCCTCTTTACTGAGAATGCTAAAGACACCAATTAGTGCTCATAATGAGGGTATAATTAGCCACCTGAACAGGATTTGAACCTGCAGCCGTAAGGTGAAAGATCTTGTAGCCCATTATGAACACCACCTGGACCATCTGAGCCTGAGGCATGCAGTACTTGAAAATACTTTACATTGTCTAACCTGACATTTAAATATCCACAACAACTGTAGGGTCACATCACCAAGTGGTAGCTGCATCAATTTACATCATATAATCTTCTGACTCACAACTGCAAAACACTTCGCTTGTGATGAGCAATCAGTAACCTAGAGAATTGTGTGTACTGTGCAGTCATAGAAAAAGATAAAAACAACGAGCAGGAAGTAAGAAAGAGAAATTGGAAATCTAGATACTAGGGTGATGGGCATTGTTAAGGAAACTTTGATAAATGACCCATGTTACAAAAAATTCTAGTATTCATAGTAATGGTTCCAAATTGCTTTCATTACTGTAATACTTACAGGGCACATCTACACAAGACATTTATGCAGAGCTGGCTAATTAGCTCTCAGTAAACATCTCAGTGTCTACACATCCACCTCTATTAGGGCACAGGAAACTAATAAACTCCTTAGCAGGGTAGTACTTGTAAATACAAGTACGATTCTGCTGCAGAGGCTTTTTCGCGCACAGCAGCACATGTATAGGCACTGACTTGGCTAGCTAGAGCACAGGGTGCTTCAGTATGGCTACCCCACACTGGAGCACCCTCATGCCCCAGCCAGCCCCTCCACGGCACATTGAGCCCAGCTGGGGCAGCCCTGGGCTGGGAGGCTGACCCCTGGGGCTACCTGGAAGCCAGGGCCACTTCGATAGGACTCCATGTGCTGTAAATGAATAAACTCCAGAGCTGATTCCTCCAGAGTTTTTGCTTCCTCCCAGGCACACATTCAAATGGTGTGCCTGGAAGCAAAAACTCTGGAGCAATCAGCTCTGGAGGTTATTGTTCACTAATTGCATGTACAGATGTGCCCACAGAGGCACTACATGCTACTGTGAACTGTATTGCTTGCTTCAGTCCATAGAACAGCATCATTTTTAGAATGTGGGGAGGGGGGTTTATTTACAGAAATACAGTGGAAAGACCCAGTGAAGCAACAGGAAGATAAAGTTGAGGTCTTCTTGAGAGCAAAGAAAAATCCTTTACTTTCTTGCTGGTTTCAATGACATTGCTAATGTTTAAGAATTGTTTTAGGCCCCTCTAGTGGAAGTTAGAGGGAAGAGGTGTTTTTTGGGTTCATGACAAGGAAAAGTGATAAAAACTCATTACATCCTTTAATACTCCATCATTCTGGAAATGTTTGGCTAACCTTCAACGAATGGCAGTGTTTTAACTTTTAACATAAAGCCCCTGGAGATTGCTGGCCAGGCAAAGGTTCTGCTTCATCTATAGGAAGAAAGTCCACGGTTCTGACTCTCATCCAACCCCAAAGCAGTGTGTACAAAAAAACTGTTCAAAACTGCTCCCCCAAATACCTTTGCCTTTCCAAGAAAGAGCAGTTGCCCAGCAGAAACCATCCCCAGGGCATGCTTTGCAGTTAATCACATACGGGCTTCAAGCTAGAAGAGACAATTCATATGTCCTTGCCCTTCTTTTAGATTGCCTGTTCCAAGATGCTGAGAAGGAATGTTAATCTAATATGAAGAGGCCCTCACACCTATTCCAGAATTTACAAAGAGCTAAGTACAGCACCATCCAGAACACACAAATATCCCAGAAGGAGACATTGGGTGCATGCAGCTCACAGAGAACTTGCAGTGACAGCCCAAGAGTATGTCTGCACTGCAGCACGATTTATGCATACCTGAGTTAATTTTAAATTGCCAAAATTGCTCAGTTCTGTGTTGCCATTGTAAATTGCTACCTATACCTGTGCTAGCTTGTTTAAAGCTAGCTGAGGTATCTCTACACTGAGCTGCATGTGGCAGCGTGGGCTTGTCCAACATGTCCAACCCAGCATTCAGGAACACCCTAACATTAACAAACTGCGCAACCCAGAAGAGAAATACTTAACAAGGAGATAAGTTTCTGTTTGAAATGTTTCAAGGTGACACACAAAAAGCTATTCACAGCAGCATCCTCTCCTTGGAGATCAGCCACACAGGCCCTTGTGATTAGTGTTATGCTAACTGAGACTTTTCTCTCCATTGCATCCAGGGCAGTTATGCACTTATTCAAACTTGATTAGGTTTCTAATTCACTTCTGGGTTCTTAGGTATTGCTTCAGTCACAGCAGGAAGGGTTTAAAATGCATTTGAATAATACTTAGTTTATGTATACTGCTTTGCAAACAGTCCATTAAACCCTTAATGCAGCACCCTCCCCCCATGAAAGAAAAAAGCAATAGAATTTATTATCCCTCAGGACAGTCATGGGGGAAAGGGTCAGTTTTGCAAAGGTATTTAAGTACATAAGGATGCAATAAACTCCTCAAAGGATTTACAGAATTGCTTAACTCCCATTAACTCCAGTGAGATGGCAATGGGACTAGCAAGGCACCTAAACACCTTTAAAAAGCCAAGTCAAAGCTCACCCAACAAATTAATCACAGAGCTATTACTCAATTGCTACCCCCTACTGTAGTCTCTGTTAAACGAGCTGCGATGAGCTCTTGTGCTGTGAGTCTGATGTGCTGTGTGTGTTATTAGACGCGCACACATAACCTGGATAGTACCAGAAAATTACTCCAACTGCTCCATCACTTTCTGGAGCAAGCACAAAAACCCTTTGGCAAGTGAGTGTATGTGTCCATAGACAGGGCTGATCGCAGATGTTTCTTACAGGTGATTCCTGTTTGAGGTGGAAAGCATTAGACATGTTGAATCACAGAGGAACTTCTCTCCTAGGTGATCACCAAGACTTGCTCCATGTTAAGGTAAGGAGTATAAAACAAGGGGTGGGTAGAGAGGCTGGACTTTGTGAAAAAGTTGTTGTGCTTGCTTCAGTGTTCTGGTGATGGACTGATTAGAAATACCTGGCAAGATGAAGCTGCAGCTTGTGTGAATCATCAGTGCTCTCAGTTGGCCTTGGTGGGCATTCCTATATACAGTTCCAGTTTTGTTTCTTTATCAAGTCTAGCCTGAGATAACAACATGACTCATTTGAATACTTCTAGCATATAGGAAGGTTGGTGGGATTTGGGCCTCTTATGCTGTGTATGGTAATCACACCTCCCACATAAACTGGATGCAGTTTAGTTAGTGCCTTAAGAGCCTTTGAAGATATGTCAATTAATTGGAAAATACAGAGTGTATCTTTGCTTCAAGGTTAACCAGGTGATGGGCACTAAGCTCTGATCACCCCCACTGCAAAACTTACTTGAACTATTGTCCTTACAGTTTGTACACTTAGCTAGGTATGCCAGGTAGTTTACTCCATAGTCCTTTGTGCTGGGGTGTTCTAGGATCCTTTTGTAGTACCTTGTGGAAAGACTTGTGTCTCCTTAGGGGGAATTGTGAGAACACACTGGGGTATTTAATACTTGGGTACTTAGCTTGTGCTGTTCCCGAAAAGTCAGTATTTCCAGACTAAATTAAAGCAGTCTTACTCAGTGCTTCTCAAAGTGGTGGCCCACGGACCAGTGCCGGTCCGTGAGCCAGCGGTCGCCAGTCTGCAATGAGTTGCCAGGAAAGAAAGAAATATATTTTCAGAAGCATAACATTGATATGTCCTAGCGCCACAGTTCATACGTTCCAACACTCCAGGTGTTGTCACATCGTGCGAGGTGAGGAAAGAGAGAGAAACAGCCAGTCGCGCATTTGTGTAGCGCTGTTACAGTCAGTTGCTGCCACTGGCTGAACCGGGCACTGGTCCCTGGCCCACTGGAAAAAAAATTGCTG